CGGAGAAGAAGCCATTAATGGAAATTTAAGAGAATAATCTCTCCCAAGAACAGCAGATCTTATAAGGCAAAATATTGCCATCAGCTGTTCGGTTTGACTTGACTTTTGTGTTCCTTCAACTACTAAGGATTCTTAGACGTCATAATCCTCTGCAAATATTTTTAATCTTTCATTCACGCGTCAAGATAAGGTTTCGAATAAAAAAGCCTCCACTGTGATTAAACAATACTCAAATTATTGTACGTTGACAAGTAATCGCTTTTCAATTTGCCATGTGATTTCAAAATATTAGTATATACTCGACACGTAATTGCTTTTTTAATTCGCCATGTGATTTAAAAATATTAGTACATACCGTTAGCCAAAAAAATATTAGAACCCAATCGCCTCCTTGGTACTTCGATCCAATCCCCATCATCCACCGGCCCTTCGAACATCTTTGCCGCTCCGTCAGATACCTGCTGACCACCGAGAAGTCCTCCCTTTGCACTTGTCCCGTTCTTGAGTCATCGGCCGCAACTCCGACCACTTGTCCTACCCCTCGCTGTAGATTGACGGCTGACGCCATTTTGAGTGCATTCCCGCTCTCGTCGTGGCCACCTGTAAGTGGCCTCCGAGTGCAGTTTTGTCGTCTCCTCAGACAATCAGCGTTAACGGTGGGTTACAAGAGGTTAAGTGATGATGTGTCTAAATAATACTGATGGCAGAAGCTAATTGGATACTTAGACTTATTTGATGTAATTAACTTGACCTAAGTATTCTCCTATATATATTATAAATATATTGCTTTATTTTTTCTTTAAAAAAAATCTATGCCAAGACTTAGCTTGATTATATTAAAGGGTTAGTTAATGTTGTCCTTATGATTTTTCACATTATCTCTCTCTCTCTCGGGCACATTCAAAGAAAGCCGCTGAATGATCATGTCCTCTGGGGAAAAAAAAAGTAGAAAAGAAAAATTGAAGAGAACACTTAATAAAATTATGAATCCAAATATTTTGATTAACAATTTACCTAAATATTTTGTCATTGTAGAGTACCGTGTGTCACACTGTTTATGTAGCCAACTTCACCTAATGTAATAAGGCTTTGTTGTTGTATCTCTCTCACTGTCTCCCCTAAACATGTCAAATTTTAAACTACCTGTAATAGATTATAGATGTAGTAATTTAAAATTAAAGTAGCGCAGTCAACCATAAATTGTTTACAGAAATATAAACGGCCGAGTCTAAATTTTATTTACACTCAAAATAATTATAATTCAGTACAATTTATAATTTTATAACAATATTAATTATTTATTAAGGGAATATTTGAGTGGAAATCAAACCATGATTTTAAAAATAATTTTATGGTATATAAAGTATATTAGAGAAATTTTATCTTGAATTATGAAAAGTGCTTTTAAAAAAAACTTTCCAAGTTCCGACTAAAATAAATTGACTAACCCTCTGTTTTATCTAAATTACAAAAATCTCTTCTCTATTTTAAAAATGTATATAAATCTTCATTAAACTTAAAATATACATTATACAAACCTCTCATATATTTTTAAAATTTCATTTACATCCATATAACAGTTAGTTGATTGTTAAGTTTGACTTTAAAACTTTTATTTTGACCAAATATTCCTCTTTAACATAAATATTATTTAAAAATTTATATCTATAAAGAAAATAATTTTTGATACCACAATAAATAATTATAATACAGATACTTTCAAAAATTTTATTATGTTATAACATTTTTTATTTTCATTATATTATAGAATTATATAATTTTAACTCTTCATGAGATATTGAAACTTAAAGTTTCTTTTAGATGGCTAGAAAATATTTTGAATGCTCATTTTTTATCATATAATATAAATTATGTGAGTTTGGAAAATTATATAAGTAATTTAAATTTTTTTAAAAAAATTGTTGCAAGCATTTATAACTTATTTAATTTGATGGATTATATATTTATTTAAAGAACTAATCAAATTTCTATCAATATTCTTTTATTTTTACATTAACTAAATTACTTAATTTTTTGGCCCAATATGATAAAAACATTAAACAAACAACAATTTGAAAAAATAAAAAATAAAATCAACATAAAGGAGAAAAGTTTAAATTCTTCAAGATAGTTTTAGCCAAAATTTGGAAATTTATTATTATGAAAGGTAAATTAGTAAATGGAAAGTATTTCAACATAAATTTTAATTAAAAAATTATTTTTTAGAATATTCTTAACAGAGTTAACGGTTGAACTTAAGTTTATACTTTTAAAATAGAAGAGAGGTTCATGTAATTAAGACAAAATACAAAAGATATTTGAAAGTTTCCCTTTTTTTTTTCTTTTTCATTTTGATTACATTCAAATGAATGAGTGTTAGGTAGTGATTTTCTTTAGTTCTTTGTTCTCATCTTTAATTATTTTTTGAGAAAATTCCCAAAAAAAATTCTTGAATTTCAAAATCTCAAATTAGAAATTATTACAAAGATGTGTTGTTGTTTGCTTTTTAAGTATAGTCAATTATTATTAAAGTGACGTAAACAATACCAATTTAAAAAGTTAAAATTCAAGAGGTATTTTTCTTAGACTTTTTTTTTCTTTTTTCCATATTTAGTTCTTTAGTTTTTTATTGTTTTCTTTTTAAGCGCATCACGAGAATTCAAGGGTGGACACTGGACAGTTTTTTATTGTTCTCATCTTTAATTCGGTTTCATAACAACTTTTTGTGTAAAAAATGACCAGGAGATTTATATTAGTTAGCTTATTTATTATTGGAATTTTTTTAATGATTTTATTCTTTCATTAAGACCTCATGATAATTTTGATGCTATCAGGTGCTTTAATGTTTGGTATTGAATATATACTCCATTTGGTTCTTATTATAAGATACTTTCTAGAAGAATTTTGTGGTCATTTTTTAAAAACATTTTGATAGTTTCAATGAATATTCAGTATTTTTCTCATATATGCCCACATTTAATAAGGGTAGACGGAGAATAGAAATTAATACGATAGGATATTAGAGTTTAACATAGTCAATAAGCGTAATATTAGAAATCACTTGAATTTCATGACAAATTTAATGATTTTAACTTTTTTTTTTGTACATATGTATTAATTAGCAATCTCTTATTATAATATGTCTTAAATGTGGATTACGGTGTAAATTTGTTTTGAAAATTTTCTCTCAAAAGCAATGTTGGTCGATTTAATCCAAATTAGTTCATTTCACGTGTATATGTGGAAGGGCCAAAACAGATAGGCGTATGCGGAAAGATCTGATTTCTTTTGTCCCTAAATATGATATATGATTTTTGAAGCTTTTGTACCTTTTTATACTACCCTGGTTTTAAATAACTAAAACACTTGAATCAAGAAAAAATAATTAAGTAGTTAAGATTTCATATTTTTCCAACTTTACCCTACTTTTTTAAACACTGCCAATCATCAACTATTTTGTTAGATAGAAGTAATCTTTACACACACACACACACTGCTAGTCCTAGAGGCATTTTAGAAAAATAAAGTTATTAGTTATTCTAAGAACTCTGGAAAGTTCACTATATATGGAAGCATAAGAGTTTACAAAATCCGCTTTATAATTGAAGTGGAGGGAGTGCATAATTCAGAGCTCCATGACATGTTAAAAATCTTTTTAAATGAACTGGTCTTCTTGCTTTCTTGCTTAAATGGAAATTGATCATCGGATGATGAACTGAGGTGCCGAAATGGCAATGGCACAATGGGTACCTATGTCTTCTTGCTTCTCTATTGGACTGACCCAATATTCTCATTCTCCAGCGGAATAGGTCATTTTTTATGATTCTATTTTGGGGGAAAAAAAATTGATTTCTGAAGCTAAAATAAATATAATCACAACCAATCTCATATTCATCAAATACCACTTTTTCATTGGTGAGACAAGGTTAAATATTATTCCTCGTATCCTAAATATAAAACCCATTTTGTAATGAAAATTACACTATAAAATAAGTCTTATATTTAGAACCGGAGATAGTATATGTTATTCAGCTATAGCAATTTATTAAAAAATGACAAAAATTTTGGTTTTTGTTGCATATGCATATAGTTTTGTATTTTTCAAAGAAAAATTAAAATGAATAAAATAAATGTAAACAAACAAGTCATGCTTTATTTAGTAGCAGAATGCGACGTAAGTTGCATGAGGTACCAAAAAAAAGATGATGAGGTGTTAGGACTTCGAAGGGAGAATGAGATTGATGATGGTAATAATAAAAAGAAGAATAGCATAAAAACAAGTGGAAAAAAGAGAGTCAAGACTTGGTAAGAAAATAACATGATAATTTTTTGAGATGGAAAATGAGTTCTTTTTCAAAATAAAAATTCAAAATTTTGACCAGGAATCGATGCCTGGTCCAATCTGGAATAAGGCCAAAAATGGTCAAAGAGAGAATAAGAACAGAACGACCTTGCTTGAACAGGATCTATTCTACAGGCTTGTGCCCCTATGTCCTAGAGTATTAAGAGAATCAAAACAGAAGTTATCAAAGCTAGGAAAACCAGTGGAAAACCGGTCATGAACTGATTTCTATTTTTTCAAAAAAAAAAAAACAGAGAGAGAAGAAGAAGTTACCAACCCCAAACTGTTGAGAAGGAAGGAAAATAGTCAGCAAGTGATATTCAAGTACTCAGGCCAAAAACAAAAAAAGTGATATTCAAGTACATGAAATCATGGGACATAAAGCACCAGGCATATGGATGCAACAGACAAGTATTTCGTTGCATTAGTCTGACACGGATCCTAGAAAGAAACCCACACTTAAACAAGGAGCTAATATGGAGAGTGAAGGCCTTGTAATTATCATGTGTGTAAAATTAAGAACAAGAACAGAAGCTACTTTGCCCTCAAGTCTTATCAATTATAAGCATGCAAAAATGGAAAAAATCCTCCTCAATAAAAAAAGGCCAACGGGCTCTCACTCTTGAACCAATCAGAGTCGTGGGTGAGTTATCGCTGTGCAGGAAGAAATGATTCGTGGTTTCTCTGTGCTGAAGAATGAAGATAGAAGACTCAAATGAAGAGAGTATATCTTTGAGCAAGTTTCAACCTTCGGAGGAGCTCCAATTGAGCACCCACACATGCTAGATTTAGGATACGGTTCAAGGTTGAAAAGACAAAAGTCCTTGTGAAACACCAAGAACACTTTTATTTCCCAATTATTGTACATCCTTTTTTTTTTTTTTTGCTGAATAAGTCCATCAAAATGACAATGTTACAGCATTAGGAGTGTTCTAAGCTGAACTTCCTATTGAGGATTCGGAGGACGACTGTTTGCAGCAGCCACACGAGAACCCCATTCCAGCAACTCTTTGCTGGTGTCATCTTTGTGTGCAAACACTTCTATGAAACACAGTGAATCTTTCTGAGGCCCAGTAGCTGCAGAAATTGCTTCGATCAGGTCCTCTTCTGTGCGCACCTACATTCATAAAATGAAAGATCAATGAACAGAATGTTCCATTACAAGGAATGACACTGTTATACGTAAAGAGGTTGCAGATATACTATCCACAAGTACAGGGAAATGCAAGATAATTTATGTGAACCTTTGCCGTCCAGCATTTGCCTTCTGAATTATGGATGGCATTCACAAAGCCAGTGTAGTCCCAGTTCTTGATCACATTATATGGGCCATCATGAATCTCAACTTCAATGGTATAACCTCCATTGTTAATGAGGAATATGATGCTTTTTTGTCTGCAGCGGATCATCGTTGAAATATCCTGTGCTGTCACCTGAATAATGGGAAGGAGGATAGTGTCAATGTGCTTTGTTATGTTTTGGTATCAAATCTGTTACATCAAAACTTGTTAATTTATATTACTGAGACTAATAATGACAGGAAAAAAGGATATAAAGTAGGTTATCTCGTCAGGATAAGTTCTTTTTTCTTTCATTCTACTTCTGAACTCATGTGACTAACCTGAAAACTACCATCCCCAATGCAAGCAATTACACGCTTGGACTTCGCAGCCTGTGCATATCCAAGTGTAGCACCAACTGACCAGCCGATAGATCCGTACTGCATCTGGAATTCATAACTGAAAGATGGATTTCGCAATGATAATGTTAATTTAGATATCATACGGAGAAAACAAATAGTAATGAATAAATTCCTTGAAGTAGAGATTGTATGCCTTACCCACAATTGTCAGGGAGACGAAGCTTCTGACAGTTGAACCAAGAGTCTCCAGTTTCAGCTATGACAGCGGTCTCTCCACTTAGCATGTTCTGTTGACCAAATAATTACCGAATTTAAATGAAGGACCTCACAAAGATGAAAGAATGTAATGAAACCATACAAATGAATTTTTAACTTATATGATGACTTAATTAGCTTGTAATTGTATGTTTAAACTCTAGTTCCCAAGTAACAGATTCAATCACAAACAATCAATGGGCAGAGTCAGATAGCTCATGAGGGTTCTGATACGGTTTTAATTTCTTAATATATCAAAGAAGGGCTCAGATTTGACAGAGTAAGAAACTTTTTAGGTTATTTAATACAGCTCCACATGTATAGCTCACTAGGCTCAAATCTGAGGGGTGCACGTTCACAAAAATCACAGATACCTTGTACAGTTGTACAAGAAGCAAGACTATTTTAACTTAGTTACACAATTAGGACACAAGGGTAGAACTCCAATCAGTAATCACACTCTTATAGTCAACACACGGCATGCAGTTGTAAAACGATAGATTAACAAGCATAAGATGAAGCAAGATGCATCGTTAGAAGTTCGAGAAAGAAAAGCTTTCAATTTTCGCTAATGTTTATTCACCCGCGCTCCGTTCTATATTGCAGAGGATTCAGTAACTCTTCTACCGTGTCAGAAAGGAACATGATGGGAAAAACAAAATTAAGCTGAGGGACAAAATTTATAGCTAGCATACCTAAGTTAACATCCAATGACTGGGTTAAAAGGATACCTTGTTAGTTATACTAATTGCACAGATCATGCTGTAATAAAGCAGTGAAAACAAGTGTTGATTTTAGCATCATACCTGAATGTGCTTGAATAGAACATTAACTCTAAGAGGTTCATCGTTCTGCTTCTTCAAAGGTACGCCAGGAGGCACATAAATACGCCTATAATTCTCCAAGGCAGTGCTGTTTTTCTTGAGCTTCTTGGACAACGCAGATAAGAAATCAGCCATGAAAACCCATCCAAGAGAAGGACCATTGCCAATGGTTATCCGATTCGGCTGCACTACAACTGCTTTCTCCTTCTTTATCAGCAAAGAATATCCCACAGAGCTGTAGTCATTGAAGATGGGACCAACAAAAACGTATGCATCAGCAGATTCCACAATCTCACCACAAAAGCTAGTACTGACAGCTCCCCAATATGTTCCAATGAAGTGAGGATGATGCTCTGGCACAAGACCCTTCGCTGATGGCATCACCGCTACTGGATACCCAGTGGCTTCTGCAAACTCCATAAACGCCTTTTGCGCCTTCGCTACACGAAGTTTCGGCCCTCCTACAATCACTGGCTTCACAGCACTGTTCAAAAATTTAGCTGTTGCTTCCACTGCTGCTTCTAGTCCTAACTGATTGCTCACTCTGCATAAAGTTCAAGGTTCTAATATGAGCAAAGAATTTAAGATCAAGAATCCATATCATCCATAAACTACTTCCTTAACATTAGCGTACACTGTTTTGAACTCTACACCTCAGTTACTGCTTGCTACGTTCATAGAATTCTGGCTTTTGAAATAAGTACCTAACTAGTTTTACTCAGAAAGAGGAATATTGAAATACGAAAGGTGATGAATGAAACTGAAGTCATACTTTGGGGCAATGTAGAACGGAACAGGGTCTCTCCCGAAAGTTGGATGAGGAATTCCAGGTAGATTACAACTTATACTGATATAAACAGGCTTGCTTTCTTTTAAAGCGGTAGAAATCGCCGTATCAATGAGCTCATGTGCATCATCCAAGTTATTCACCACAGCCTGAAATGTCATCATAAGCACATTACAATATCAAGGTCAATCTTCAAAATTGACCACAAGTGAACTTGAAGGAAGCATGAACAATGCCTTACCTGAAAGCAGGTGATTGTCTGAAAGCAACGAAGCTCCTGGCTAAAATCGGGCAACCCGATTGTGTGATGAAGAACCCGATTCGTTCCGTAATCATTTGAATTTGGGCCACCGACTATGCAGATCACAGGCAAATTCTCACTGTAAGCTCCGGCGATGGCGTTCAGGACGCTGAGACCACCGACGGTGAAAGTGACAACACACGCGCCAACGCCCTTGAAGCGCGCGTAGCCATCTGCTGCGTAGCCGGCGTTGAGCTCGTTACAACAGCCGATCAAGCTGAGCTCAGGCTCGGCGATCAAGTGGTCTAGAAGGGTCAAATTGAAGTCGCCCGGAACAGAAAAGACGTCACTGACGCCGATCTCAACCAGCCGCCGAGCCAGGTGCCTGCCGAGCGTGCCACTGCAGGCCGAAGGGCGGACCGAAGCCGGAACAGGAGCAGAGTTGGATGAAGGCACGGATCCAAGGTGAGTGGAAGCTTCCATGGGAAGAAAAGAGAAATCAGAGTGATTGTGAATATGGGGGTTGACGGATTGATGTTTAGAGTAGAGGATCACTGTTTCTGGGTTGATTGAAGGAGTTTTGAGAGAAGTTGATGATATATATAAAGGTTGTCACTTGAGCACATAGCAAGGGAAAGCTCAAAGCTGATGTTAGAAACCATGGGCAGGAATGGAAGTTGAAATCCTACAGAAGGGGCAAAGAAACAGGGGGATGGAGTGGACAAATCCCAGCTAGCGCCTCCGGAAAGAGAGAAACTATAGCTTTGCCAAGTTGGATTATTATATTAAAAATAAATTTAGAGTTAACTATCTTTTGAGTGGATTTTTTTTTTTTTTGGGGTACAATTTTTGAGTGAATTTTGAATTTTCTGATCTGCAAAGAAAACACTGAAAGAGATACCAGGCTTTTTTTTTTTTGGGAAAAAAATATTCAAAAAACAAAGACCATGAAAGTTGTGAAATTACAAATCAGATATTTTGTTAAAAATTTGTTGTTATTTGTCACGAATCCTAATTTGCAATTTTGTAATTTTCACTTTTGTTTTGCTATTGTCCCTTTTTTTTTCACCTAAGTTAAACTATTAGTGCCTATAGTTTCGATTGCCCCAAAATTGGTTAAAATTTTAACATATTTTGACTTTAGCTTCCTTGGATTAGTCAATAAATCAATTATTTAATTAATCCAATCGAAAATTTCGGACATGTCAATTAGATAGGATTTTATTTTTTCCCCCTCTTGTTAAGCTTGAAATGATATGGTTTTGAGCCTTAAAAAAATAGCAATATATCATATTATGCCTTACTAACTCTATTTTGTTAGATTATATGTGATTTGTATACATTAAGGTCTATTTACCTGTGGACTAATGTCTCTTTTATTTAAATATCACCCGTTTTAGGATTTTATGTGAATATTTTATATGTTTTACTTAAATTATATTATTTTAATCATAATTGCATTAATTCTGATTCAACCATCGCAATTTAGCCTGCTAAGCCTTAAACTTGAGCCATTATTTCTTTTAACACATTAATTTTAAAACTTTCATCAATATTTTTATTTTATTAGTATTAGGAAAAATGATAAATAAGACAGTGAAAATTGTAAAATTTCAAATAAAAATTCGTTAGTACACTTTAACAGGTTTTGACAATAATTGAACTATAAATAACAACATTTTTTTTAAATATCTGATTTAGAATTTTGCAATTTTCATGACTTTTTTTAAAATCTTTGTCGCTTAGTTCTGTGGACTGTTGTTCGAAGGGTGGTTTTACTAACTTGGAAAGGGTCCGTGGTATTGGCTGTGGGTTCGGTACAGTAAATTTGAAAATATGCATAATCTCTTTTGGAGGGTTATTTAATTATTTTCTTGGGTAGATGCACGGGAAGGAGTGTTTGACGGGCAAGTCATAACATTCTATATTAATTAATGAAGGGCAGACCAATGTTTCGAGGATTCTTAAGGGAATATATTTAATGCTTGGGTTAATATTTAATGCTCGGGTTAAGTTCATTTAATATTTCAAAATATTTTTTCTCATACATCTAATACCTCAAAATATTTTTTAGTACGTCCAGCATCTTGAAATCTTTTCTCATCTTTATGGTGGATACACTAAATAATATTTTTAGGTGTTGAATACATCTAAAAAAATAAAGTGCTGAATGTATCAAAAAATACTTTACAGTATTAGATGCACTTAAAAAATATTTTAAGATATAAGATGTATTATAAAATATTTTAAAATATTAGATATATTTGAAAAATTTATTTACTAGCGCTGGATGCACGTTTCAAACTTTTGAGAGAGGTTGCTTTTGAACCCCCTACTCAACCATACGCTGTGTTCTTTGGTCGATGTGAGGGTCACTATGCTATCCTGTCATATATACAATTATATTCACTAGTGTTCTAGTTGCAGTCCAACGTGTACATCCTTTTTCGACAGACATCCGTTATTTTAACCAGGAGAAATGAACGAGAACTCTTCCTATCTTTAATATCACCTTCAGTTCTAATTATAAGAGCCAGTTGACTAATTTAACAAAATTAAGGAAGTAAGTTGAGTTAATTAGTTGTCCTAAATAGGTATTGTCTTTCCTAAAATATCCTTGCTAATCAAGTGTATTAACTAGAACTATCATTGTTAGAAGAGCTACTTTGGAAAAAAAATGTATAAATATGAGAGACAAAGTGAATTGGGGTCTCATATTTAGGACCAAAATAAAGGTCAAACAGGGTCTTATATTAAGGACAGGAGGTAGTATAAGACTTATTTAACTAATTTGATTAAATTAAGAAAGTTAGATAAGTTAGTTAATTATAAGAAATATGATATGTTTTTCTTAAAACACAATAATCATCTTTATTAATATCATTGCTCCTTCACTTAATTATGATTGAGATAGTATCCATAGAAGTAATTTAGAAAAATTAATAAATACGAGAAATAAGTATTATATTTAAAATCATAATTAACTTAACAATTATGTCATATATTAAAGATCAAAGAAGTATTATTATAATATTGTAATGTACAACAAGCTTGCGTATGTTACTCAGTGCTCATTATAAATCAATTGCAATTTATTCTCACATATTAAAAAAAAAAATGAATGTACTTTGTCTAGATAGCATGTTTTGTTTGTTAATATTAATATTTTGAAGTGGCTATCTTATCAGTAATTATAATTTGTTATATTATAGTTGATGTCGTACTCGTACCTATGGGAACATAAGTTAAATAGGTGAAATGGAAATGAGTCAATTTCTCATATGTGAGGTCCATGCCATGGTTAGAAACTTGTTAAAAGAAAAAAAAAATTACTTTTGAAAAATTATGCTTATTTGAATTTGATAAATTTTAAGTGTTAAATAGTAATACTTGATACTAGATAAATAATTGTATTAAAAAAATATGTAGGGTTCAATTCGATCAATCACTTTTGTGACTTCAATATATTAAATTAAAAAAATACTAGAGCGTACGAAAAGTTATTTTGTTACAATTCAATTTGGCGAAATGACAGAAAAATACATCTTAAATTTTAAAATGATAAATAGGTTATGCTCATTATTTTTGTATTGGTTTTGACTATTCTTGTAATAGTTTAATTTTGAGAAGTCAAAATTTATCAAAATCACTATCATTTTAAAATTCAGCAATTATTTTTCAGTCATTTTTCCTTCAATTTTCACAATCGTTACATTTTTCACTCAGTCCCTTGCAAACAAGTTGATGAAATCACTGCACTGCATCATATCTAATAAAATAAGAAGTAATGAGGTGACCGTCATCTCTGTTTTAACTATATTCTAATAGAAAAAAACTTAACTTTATGGGTTGAGATGAATAATCAACGTCATCAATACAAAAAACCAAATTATATGTTTGTATTTGTTTAGTATTCATTTAAATATAATATCTTTGGTCCTTAACATAAAACCCAATTAACTAATTTAGAAAAATTGAGAAAAATGATAAATTATTTTAAACTATTTATACTTATTGTTTTTTCTCAAACTAATTTGCCTCACTTATAAATTGCTATAGAATGAAATCTTTCTGATTCTTAATTTTCAGAATATCTAGACTTAGTTCTCCTCTTTGAATAGAGGCTCTAGCAATTTCTTTTGTATTTTTCAGTCTAAGCAGGAGACAATATACTTGGAGTTTAATCTAATGATTCATATAAATATTTTAGATAGATCATATAATATATACTATAATTAAGAAATTCAGCAAATTTCTTAATCTTTCCAAATTAATTAATCGGATTTTATATTAAAGACCGAAGGTAATATATCATTATGTATTCTAAGCAAAATTAGTCTTTTATTGTTTATATTTATAAGTTATATATAATGCAATTCCTAAGGTGTATTATATAAAATGATAATTTAGATGGTTTATATGATACATGCAGCTCATTTTTTAGGATGAAGGTGCATTCAATATCCCGACTTTTTTTTTATAGTGCACGTAGCATTTTAATTTTAATTTTATTCCTTCTAGCACCGAAAGATTAGAATGTTAGATATAACTAAAAAATAACAATATTAGAGTGTTGGATGCATCACAAAAATAATATTAAAGGATGTTAGATACATTTGAGAAATAAGATCAGGACATTAAATGCATTTTCACCCTTTTTTTACAAAATTATGTATAACTCCCAATTCTATGTATGGTTTGATAGTATAATTGTGACTGGACCAACAATAGCTAGCTCAGATGTTTAAGCGCTTATTTCATTAATTAAAGTAAACTAAAGTCTCAAATTCGAGTATTATTGCGTGTATGAAATAAATTACAGTTAGAAAAGCTTTATATCCATATCATCTAATCTAAGAATGATCAAATCACAGACTGAGCGGCACTTTTGAAAAATAATAAGAATAAAGGACAAATGCTAGCTGTAAGAGAAGCTTTGTAATATTTCATAGAAGGGAAAGCGAACTTTTTTGAAAGAATGGAAGAGAATATTCGAGGTTTTTGAATTATATATTTTATTCCAGTTGCATGAAAATCACCCTTTTTTACAAAAAAAAGTGATGTCTCTCTTCACAACACACTGCAATGTGTAGTTGTGTGCTGGCGGGTGTGTGTATTACATTCTGTTCTTTATTTTGTTGTAAACAGATCATTGAGATGCCTAATTGATAAATTACTGATCAAGTCACATATGTGAACTTTTTTTTTCTTAAAAAGTATCAAACACGAAGATGATTATATTTCTTTTTTGGCCAGAAAAGATGATGATACTGAATCAAAAGAAGTTAAAAATTTAGAATTATGTCAATATGGAATAAACATTATCACATATTATTTTATGTGTAAAAATATATACATATAAATTTTTAGAGATGAAGCCATAGAAATACACTTTAGATAAATATGTCAAGTACATGAAAGATGAAAATAGAGAGGGAGAGATTTGGAACAACGGCTACCCTACTTGTTTATCAATAAATTTGATGAGGGGTCTATAAATTATGATTTTTTTATCATTTAAAAAATTTATTTTTATATTTTTATTTGTATTAAATTATTGATTTTCATACTTCTTTTTAGTGCCTAAAAGTTATAATTCAAGGGGGTTTTTAATTTATAAAGATTAAAGATAGTTTATAGAGATTTAACATCTTATTGAAGACAAGATTGAAAACAGAACTGGCATGATAGGAATAAGTATTTTAATAATTGCTTC